CACTTTTATTTTGGGGGTTCCCTCAAACCAATTTGGATTCACTTTCAATAATCCATGGTTTATGTTAACTTACTACCATTTTGCCGATCCACTGGATTTACAGCATTGTAAGTTTGTGTCTTGCCTTTTAATTTGTCATATACACCTGGCCTCTGCTAAGATTCAAATGTTTCTAACAAAATATCATTTATCTGTGTTTGTTCAAAGGCTATGTTCAATTATGTGGAAAAACATAGCTATCTTACAGTACAACACCTTACATACCACCAAAAGCTGGTAAGTATGTTTAAACAGTTAGTCCAACGGGCATACATATTCAATATGCACTCTAGTCCTTAATTGTTCAAATAGAAGATGCAAAAATGTTCACAAAGCAGTCAAACTTCACACTTGTTTTGCAGCAATCTTCTTTCTGATTTAGTCAACCCTCCCAACCCTCATCTTATAATTTACTATGTTACATCTCCTGCTTTCTATCTTTTCATCCTAAAAATAACAGGGGAAGAAGACAGGACTATTCACGAGCAAGATCCTTAGCACACTTAATTCTCATTTAATATCTCTTTTAAAAGAATTCAAGCCAGAAGAGGAATCAGAAGAGCATGCATTTGAAACAGGGTAGAACTTTTCTTATTTGTGATTAGCAGGATAAGAAGGATGATGGCAATAAAGGAGACATACCTTGTGTTTGGAGAAGACAACGCATGTAGTAGAGATGTAGGGAGATGTAGTATGTATTTGTATATGTTTCATAAATAAAAAATAAAAAATCTCTCCTATACAGTTGACTTGATAGCTCAAAATGCATTACAATGATCACAAATCATTAGAAAAACTAACAAAACCCAGTTTTCCCATATCGATATAGCTGGAGCTCTGGGAAATGGTCACCAAGTTCCAAAGCACTTGGCCGATAGTTATGGCAATATCTATCTCCAAGATCTTTATACTCTTCAAGATAATTTTAACTTTGAGTGAGAAGTCACTCGTAGCTTCTGAGATATACTGGACCTACTGGAGCACAGAATTACTCAAAATTATATTACATTGTCTTGAGAACTGTGAAAGGATGGAGTGAGCTAGTTTCAACCGCTAGAAGGACTGAGCATAAAACAGACCAAAATATCCAAGTGCTTGAGTCTCACCAGCCAAAGCTTTCAGACAACTCTAATTTTCTACAAAGTGCACAGGTTTCTCTAAAAGTGAAGATCTATATGTACAAAAGATGAAGCAATAGAAACAGGAGTTCAAATCACAGGCTGTGTCAGCTACACATGGGAAATGAAGTCTGTGGAGTCTGGAAACATTACAGCAAGACCTAAAACATACCTTTAAAAATGGAAATGAAGTCCAGGACTTGATGGAAAATTCACTTAACTTCAAAAGTCTGCCTTTATGCTCTACTCTTCCCTGTTCAGTTACTGAAGAGTGAGATCACAGGATGCTGTAAAAAGGCATTGATGCTGTGCTGTGATCATTCACTCTCTCAGGTTTTTGTTGATTCAGCTGCCTATCCCATACTGCTTGGAATCAAGGTTAGTGCCAAATGTAGCATTAGATTCGTATGCTTCACAGACATACTTGTAAAATCAAAAAGGCTGCCCAACATGCCCAAAGCAATCAGTAACACTGGAGAAAGTAGCTGTCACATTTTGTCACAGTCTTTGCAAAATCCACCATATGGGATGCTTACCACTCAGCTGTGTTTGAGCCCAGCACAAAATTAGATTCACATGCCTTAAACTTCTTAAAGGGCTAAAAGTGTCTCTCCTTTAAACTGACTGAGACATTTCTTAGGTGCAAACTTTAGTGTACTCTTGCAGTCATGGTAAGACCAGGCTTATTTTCAAAATTCTGCCCTTTTTTCATTTTTAACATTTTTTATTTTTAATTTTTGTTTTATGTCATCCTAATATGGAAGAAATGACAGAAGAGACTGGATTTCTTTCCTGAAACCATCTGAAAATCAAGAGTACAAAAAGGATGTAAAATTTTGAATGAATCTGATACAAATGTGATACAATCAAAATGGCTGAAGTGCAAAATGAGTAACAAATATCAAAGAACAAAAAGTCACCAGAAATTATAAATACCGTAGGCAAGGAGAACAAAGTAAAATACAGAACTAACTCATCAAAGAGGAAGAAAGCAAACAGTAGACGATAAAAAGAAATCTCAGTGTTGGATACTTCACACTTCCGATTTTAAGAGAAAAAAATGCAAGCTAGATAAAGGGAAGAACAAGCTGAAGGATATTCTGAAAAGTCAGATATATTCAAGATGACAGAATCTGGTGAAATTCTCTCATGTACTCTCAAGTACATGACAAACTAGATGAACAAAGCTCTGAACCTCTAGCAATTGTCTTTCAGGAATGAAGGAGGACAGAAAAGGGCAAATACTGTATCTTCCTTTTGAAAAGGAAAAGGGGAAGACTTGGGAATTACTAACCAGCCAGTCTATATATGACAGCAGCAAGAATATTCAACAAGTTTGTTAAATAAACAATTTACTAACATCTAGTGGATAGAAAAGGTGGTAAGAACACCAGTGACGAATTTATCAAGAAATCACATCATCTACTTGCTCTCTCAACTAAGAAATTTGCCTACTGGATTAAAGGAAGAAGCAGATGTAAAATACTTAAGCTTTAATAAGGCTCTGTTTACTATCCTGGATGACAATTTGATGAACAAACTAGAGAATTATATTCTAGGTGAAATCATTACAAGATATATAAACATCTAGAGGGAAAAAAACGCACTTACGGGGTAGTTTTCAAGGGAATCATGCAGAGGTCTGACAATATTTCCATTAATGATCTGGATGAAGAAGTAGAGAGCAAACTTCATGAAAGTGAGGGTAACATCAGGCTGCAAATGGTTTAAAGCACTGTGGGGTATTAAAGTTCTGCATTATCTTGATAAACCAGAGAAATAGAGAAATAGCCTGAATAGAACAGTTAAAATTAGTAAAAGCAAGTTCAAAGTAGTATGTCTTACAAGCAAAGAAATGAGTCACACAAATGTAAAACTGGAATAACTGGTCAGTAGCCAGAGTGGACACAGAAACGGGACATGAGCTAAATGCAATGCTGCTTGTAAAAAAAAAAAAACACTATTCCTAAATATAGTAACAGGAACTGTCACAGGTGAGATATGTAATTCTTTCTGCTCCTTTTTGACACAAGCCTCAACCGCAGTGACCATCTGCTCAGTTTTGGGCACTAATCTGAAGAAACGTGGAGGCATACTGGAAAAGAACAAGATAGTAAGAGAAATGGAAAGTAAAACTTTCACAGTTATCATATGCAGAGCCTACACACAGTTCATACAGCCTTAACTCAGCTTACAGTAAGTTAATCAAATATTAACTTATATTATGGGGAAACCAACAGGAAAGGACAGTGAAAAACACAATGTGCCATCAGAAAACATCAAATACTACACAAGAAACATCAAGGAAAGCTTCATTAGTGAAATAACTCTATAAGAATCTGGTTCAAACAAGATTGACCAGGTACATTAATCTCCAGTCCAACTGTAAGAGTCAAAAGAGCTGCAGTGTCTTGCGCACTGGTTCGAAAACTCTTTGGCAAAGAGTGGTACGGAATCCTGCAAATGGGATTTCTAGTGTCAGGAAGCCTGAGCTCAGTGAAACCCACACTATAGTCACAGGGGAAGAAAAACACATATGTTTAAAGATTGGATAGAGGTCTTTGTTGTTGAACTCTTGTTTCTGATCGCTTTATATCTCCAGTTCTGAAACGGAAAAAAAAAAAAAAAAAAAAGTTATTTCCAAATCTGTTTGTGCCTGGTTACAAATCTCTAAAGAAGAAAGGCTTGGAAATGACAGACTCATTTGTAGCTGTCATGATTATAGGGTCAGATGGGGCTGTAAATTAGAGACCCTAATCAGGAGTGGTTTCAGATTTTTAGAGAATCCACAGCAGACAGACCTGTTAACTAGAAATGCAAGTAAGAAGAGCACTATAAATACACTACTGTGATTATTACAGATAGGAAGATAGCCCAGACTATAAGAGATCAACCTTAAACATCTGGAGAATTTTGACAAAACTTTTTCTTTTTCCCTGCAATCTGCAAAAAATATGCCAAAGCTCAAAATGCTTCACAAGACCTTCCATTTTATTCAGCTCTATTTCTGATGACACCATCTGGAATTTCTCCCATGAATGGAAGATGTCAGGGTAAAATTTATGGGGAGAAGAAAGGAGATATTTCTTTCTCATTCAGATGTCTCCTTCAAGGCTCACAGATCACACCAAACTTAGTTTTCATGTACCATGAAAGAATACTTGCTGGTTGGTGGTAATGTATGTTTCTACCACTGTATTCAAGACTTTTACAGAAGAGATGTATTCCTCATAAGATGTGTTTTTACCCTGTAATTCTCAAAGCTACCTCTTACACGAGGACGCTGTCTTTAAATGCTGTGCCTGCTTGATTGTCATTCAAGGGATAAGGTGTTTTTTGCTTTGTTTTATCTTAATGAAATAGTTATTTACCAGTTTCTGAGTATTTATTTGAAATGCTTTTCAAACCTGTAAGGAATTAATTGCGATCAAGGCCATAAAACACCTAATTGCCCTTCAGTTAAAGGTCTGATCCCCATCAATGCAGTTAAGGTGTCACAGTAGTTAAAATCTAATTGCTACCATCCAAAGGAACAGTTTCATTGCTGCAAGTTTCCATCTTTTTCCTTACATCAGCTATGGTATTTGATTTCTTTGTGAGCTAATTCAGTTCACTAAGCTGACAAAAAATTAATTCAACAAAAAAAGAGGTGGAGGGGAAGTAGATGCAGTCAGCATTAGACCTGCAATATTAATCTTGGACATTCTAGGAACCCCATAAACAGAAATGTAACTGCTGATGTCAGTAAACTTAAGGAATGGAACACCGCCTTCCTGATATATATTTCCATATTACAAATCAGGCTGCATGGTTACATTAAAATACTAAAATGAATCAACTTACTGCGAGACAGATTCTCAAGGGCTTTTCCAAGTTTTTTGCTCTCTTGAAGAATATGATTTAGTTCATCAAAATCATGGCTCTCCGGTTTTGTCTTCCAATCCCAGTTAGGATGCTCTATTGACCTTGGCACTAAATATACACAGATATATACATGAAGTTTAGATTTGGTAGTTCAGATACCTATAGTAGAAAAAAAAGCTGCACAATGACTTTACTAGCTCAAGAAACTCGTGAGTGGAAATGACTTCTTTCTCTTCCTAATTTACGGGTGGAAATATTTTCTCTGGTCAATAAGAAGTAAAAATAACTGAACAAATGCATACACAGAACTTCTGACTGACTCTTGCGACTGAATGCATTGACAAACAAGAATAATTTATACTGACAAACATAAAGTAAAAAGAGATTGTAATAAAATATTGTATTTGGGGGTACTTCATTTACATCAGATAGAAGTGTGTGTCCTAGGGGCCAATAAGGATAGAGTGAACACACAAAATTAAACAATACTTTGGCCTTTGCTAGTTATTTTATCCTTAAGAAAAAGTTTTTTTTGTTGTTGTTTTGGATAATACTTTTAAGTAAACATATAAAAAGAATTTTTTTTAAAAGTGTCGTAAAATAACAGTCAATAAAAATAATGAAACAAAACACATCCCTATTGCTCAGACTGTATAAACAAATGATTTCTATTTTGATAGGTAAAGAAAATAAACTTTGGTCTTTGGGAAGCACAGCCTTCTACACATTACATACTACCAAAACTTTGGTTTAATTTTGAAAGAACATTTCTCTATGCTGAGCTAACCTCTCCTACAACGGCAGAGAATGAAGAAATCAGTTTTTGAGTGCTTTAAGACCCACAATATAGAGAGCGGCACTGACCAATGTGAATATTTTGAACAATTCAAGGAAATGAAAGTAAAAACAATACTGTCTCTGGAACTCATTTTTATACACTGTTTTTCCAGTGTTCCTATGTGATCTGTTGCCTTATCCACAACAAGTAATTGCTGGGTTGTCTCTAGATGCAACACTACAGTACTGAGAACTGCACACTCTTCTATGAAAATGATGCCTAGTAACTTCAAAAACAAGGTCTATAAGAATAGGTCCAAATGTCTCTTAGCAAGGTTTGAAGCTTTTTTATTTATAATTCTAACAAAAATGCTTCTAACTTTATGCTTCCAAACTTCATTTTTATCTAAAACAGAGGTGAAAATTTGAGTTCTACAGACTGTGTAACAAAAGGTGGTACTTCATGATCATTCAAAAATCCAGGATGCCTGTATGATTACTCCAGGAAATTCCATTAGAACTTCGAGTTCTGGTAGCCATTACACAATGTGCTACGTAACAGCTGCTCTTGAAATTGGTCTAAATGATGACTGCACTTTGTGTAAATACAGAGTCTACTCTGGTTCTGCTCCACAAGGGAAATTTGATGTTAAGTCATCTTTTGCAGGTAAGGCCCCATGGAACAAAGGTTAATTTAAGTGCTTCTGTCAGAGAATGTGATTCCAATGCCTATCAACATACAACAAGCTATCTTAAAATCCATACAGATGCTGACCATCTAGAATGTATCCTGACCTGTGAAACCCACTCAGGAACTTGGATAAATATCAGGTGAGTTACTACCTTAGACTGTTCTAAAAGAGAGAAGACAAAGATGACATTAAAAACGACACACAGGGAAAAGGGCAAGAAAAAAGAGACACAGGAAGCCTTGGTAGGGAGAAGGGAAGACAGGGATAAGCTTTTAGTCAGAGTGAGAATGTCAGAAATTGGTTCTGCTTTGTGTTCAAAGAAGATAAACCTTGAATTTCCATTTGAAAAAAAAAAATAGAAATAATGAACAATGTCATTTTCTAGTGAATAGATATAATTCTCAAGCACAAGCATTGGGATATTAGGCAAGGTAATGACTGGACTCTACTCAGATGGACAGTTCGTAATTTTTCTTGATCTTTTTAATGTCTATCATGTATTTCCTAATTCCTCAGATATAATTCTCAAGCACAAGCATTAGGATATTAGGCAAGGTAATCTACTCAGATGGACAGTTCATATTTTTTCTTGATCTTTTAAATGTCTATCATGTATTTCCTAATTCCTTGTTTTTGTAATCATGATCTTCATTAAAAGCTACTTAAAATGTTGTGTGATCAAAAATTGTCTCCATTCCCACATTCACAGACCCAGAAATTCAGTTATACACCACAGCTTCGGTATTTTTTTCTTATTTACAAGCAGAAAACAAAATTTTCCTTATAGTCCTGTTTCTAAACTTTTACTAATTCTTAATATAGTTAGTAAAGAAATTCTATAATGAATTCTTCCCATTTTTGCCCATCTTTGGTTTACAGTGAGATGACAAGTGCCTTTACCACTTACTTTTTCAGCTGTACCTCCTTCAGCTGTACCTTGTATCACTTTAGCTTGCTGGCAATTTAAGTCTTTTCTTTCTGTGTCTCTAGTAAACTCATGTGTGCACAGACAGAAGCCCCTTAACATCACCAAAATACAAGCAAGCTCCCTATAATTTAATACAGTAAAACCAAGTAAAAAGATACCTAAGTCTTAGAATTTCTGTTTTGCAGGAAATTACAAAAAATGTAATTTGATTGATGTGAATTTGAAACATGCTGTATTTTTCAAAGTACCAAAGGGATGGAGATTTTGAGAAATCATATGATTTCAAAATAAAATGCATCTTGAGACCCATGACCAGTGCTGAATAAAACAGAGGTCAGTTCTACTCATCAGCTGTCAACTACCTGATGGAAATCTGCTCTATATAGATTAGCATGCTCTCTGTTTCAGTGAGCCCTTTTTTGTATTTCAGTCAAAATGTATCAAAACAGACATGCTGCCATGAAACATTTCTGTTTCAACAAATCATTCTACTGAGCCAAATCTGAGCGGGGGGAGCAATGCAGAATTAGAACTGACTAGAATTTTACTGCTTCTAGAGAATATGTGTTTCACATGTACCTACTGTTGGTCCAAGTAACGAACAGACACTAAAACTAAAATCTTTGTTCCATCCTGTGACTTTGTCTCTTCTTTCAAGGTTCATTTTTAGTGCACATACAAAACTTTCAAAACATAAACTTGTATCTTCCCAACTACGAGATCAATTAAATACTGGCTGTTTTCGAACAGATGGCTTTGTGTGAAGCGTGCAGAACTCTACACAGACCTATGATCAACCTACAACCTACTAAATCAACTTATGATTTCATGAAAGTAGTCTTCTGTGTAAAAGCCGTCATACACCATTTCCTCTCACATCTCACTAAAGATTTAATTAAAATCCATTCATAATATTCCAACCTTCCTTTTCCTTTATTATACTCAGTCATTCCTCAAAATCATCATGTCAGTATTTTAAACCCCTCATAATATTACCTGGCTCGACTTCATCCCTTTTATTTGAGAGATTTACACAATACTATGCCTTGAAATTCTGCGACTACAATTCAGTAGATGTATGACATCTACTCATAGCATTTGTATAGAAATATTTAGCTTTCTCTTTTTGGAGCTGAGATTGCATGCTAGAAATAGCCCAGTTTTATAATCTCATTTCAGAAAACTGCAAGAAGGTGTTTTTCAGTATTTCTGATTTTCCAGTTTCCCAATCAATTAACGCACATCAACAGCAGATTCATTCACAGATTTGTTATGAATTCTCTGTCATAAATGAACAGATCATTATTTTTATTGGATGATAGTACAAGATTGGTACTGTTCTTATCTACATATACCTGTCTTTTCAAGACATGATTTGTAGAAAGAAACAGACCAGTTGCTCATTAAATCCCGCAGCAGTAGGTTCATGGGAAGGTTATTTCTATCATAAGACACCTGGCTGCTTACTCATGCACAGACATGTTCATGGCAGTAAAAAGTCCTTCTTAGTTCTACATTTCATGAATGCATGGTATGGCCAGCTTGCATCTCAAAGAACAAAAATACAGGTGTAATTATTGATCATAAAAATACCCATGTACTTAAATCTCACAATAGATTCAGATTAGAGTTCTTATTGTGATCAAATAGCAAAACTATCTTACAAAGTATACTACCAGAGTGTGGGTATATAGTACTAGACTGACTGTGGGCATTAAAAGGTACCAAACACTATAACAGGATACTGGAAAACCTGAGAAGGGAAGGCTGAACTCAAGCAAAGCAAAAACATGATCTGATCTAATACGGAGGTAGTGAAGCCTAAGAGTAGCTAGCTGGGAAGCAAGAATTGTTTCACAAACTATTCAGAAACTAAAAAATGTGTTCCTTACGCAGAATGATCTAAAAATTAAATTAATATGTAATACATATTCTAAGCTGTAAAAGTCCAAGCTTCAAGCCTCTTTCCTTGTCAGACCACAGAAGAAGCTTCAATATGTTTTTGCACACATCAAGTGTATTTTCAGATCCATTAAACACTAAGTTTGTTTGAAGAGGGACTGAGGTGGTAACAGTGAGAAGCAGGGACTGGAGGAATCTTCCCAGTAAGAAGCTGAATGAATTCTAAGCAAGATGCAGCTTAACTAGGGTCTTGTAGTTACCTGCATAAGGAGGAGTAATCTGTCCAAGAAAAACATGCACACTGCAGTGAACATAAGCTCTGCTAAAGGAAAAAATATTTTCTGTTTGTTTCCCAAATGCTCCCCTGAAATGTGAGTTCTTCTCAAGTTTTTTCTTCTCAAGTTTTAAGTTTAAGAACATTTAAAGAAGACAGTCCTAAAACACAAGCTCTGTAGCAGAATTTGGAAAAAAAAATGTGAAAGGATATAAGCAGGAAGGCATGAGATCAGGGAATAATTTAGGCTGTAAGGGACCTCCTAAGGTCTCCCAGTTCAAAATACTGCTCAGAGCTGCTTCACTTAGATAAGGTTGCTCAGGGCCTTGTCTAGCTGATTTTGGAGTACTCCAGCCACTCTGAGTAACTTGTTCATCCTCACATCCTCACAGTAAAAATAGATTTTGCTGCCTCTTTGTCCTTTCACCACACACCTTTGAGAAGAATTTGGCATTGTCTTCTCTATACGCTCCTATCCAATAGCTGAAAATAGAAATAAAATCTCTGGTTAGCTTTTTCTCCCGAAAAGGTTACAAAAGCCAATTCTTTCAGCCTCAGTCACCATGAACTCATCAGCTTGATGGACCTCTGCTGGGTTCACTCAAGTAATCACTGTCTTTAACGTGACATACTCCATATGCCATCTCAGAAGTGCCAAGGAGAGAGGAAGAACTCTTTCTGCCAGCCTTCTGGTTACGTTCTCACTAATGCAGCCCAGTATGCAGTTGGCTTTCATCCCTGCAAGGGCGCACAGCCACCCCCGGCTCATATTCACATTCCTGTCCAATGGCATCCCAAGCCATTTTCTGCAAAGCTACTTCCCAGCCAGTCGATCCCAGTACATAGTATCGCATAGCATTGCATTCCACTCCCAGATGCAGAATTTGGTCTTTGTTGAACTTCATGAGGCTTCTGTTAGCTGATCTCTCCAGCCTGTTGCTGTTCCTCTGAACAGCAGTCCTGCTATCCAGACTTACCCAGCATACCAACCATTCCCCACAAAATGGGTTCATCTAAAACCTTGGTGGCATCACACACTATCCAGGTCATTGTTCAGGTCATTAATAAAGACTTTTAAACAGTACTGGTTCCAGTATTAGACTTTTAAGGATACGGCTAGTGACAGGCTTACAGTTAAACTTGTTATTAAAACTCTTGGAATCAACAGCTGAGTAAACTCGTTGTCCACTTTTCCAGTCCATAGCTCAACAATTTAGTTATAAGGATACTATGAGAGACCATGTCAAAGTCAATACCTTGCTAAAGTCAAGGTATTAAAGGTTCACAACTCTCCCCTGCAACACAGAGCCAGTCACTTCACTGTAAAAGCCAATCTGATTAGTTATATATGATCTGGTAAATCAATGTTGGCTGGTCCCTCACACATATTTTCCAAACCTTATTTTTCCTGATGATGGGCTCATCAGAAACCCTTCTTGTTGCCCAATATGGGAGATGACTTTCACTGTTCTAGAGAAATCCAAGACCTCTGTCCCGTGGGCACAAGGTTTCAAATTCAGAATCAGCAGATGCCCTTCAATTCATGAACACAGACCCTTGAGATCATTCTTGCTATGTATATATAAACTATTTCTTTGAGTGATACATGATCTACCAGCTTAAAGCGTCTCTCTCACATCCTCTTATGAGATGATGTAAGGACAGCTAATCATAAGGCTAGCAGTGGATATCCAAATGATGAAAGTGGTGTACCCCTACCTGAGATCAAGGCTGAGCACTTGAGACCTTTTGGAGATGACACGGGAGTCACCTGGTCTATACCACAGGCTATGAAGTACAAACACTGGTGGTGAGGAAGAGAACACTTCATATGATGACTGGAGAAGCTCAGACTATGGTGGGACATTGTCTGTGGAACTCTACACCTCCAGAAGTTGCTGTCATCCAGCACACACTGTTAATTTATGAGCAGGTATGTCCACTTCTCTGAAAATCCACATTTAATATTGAAAGTGCATTAAAACTCACACTTCTCACTTAAAAATTCATATGTCTCAAGAGAGGTACAGCAGATCTAGTGATCAAATTTCAGCCTTTTTGAAGCAGGGAATGTGCCTCATGGAGAAGAGAGAGACACACAAGTTCCATTTCCAGGGAAAATGAATAAATCCCAGAATCATTCTGGAACAATACAGTCTTGTTAAAATCTGTGTCATGGGACACTGCTGTCTCACTTTTTTCTGCATTTGTTATGATAATTTATTCTCAGTCAAAAAGGTTAGGCATTCCTAACCTTACAAGATTGATAATTACCCCAAAACAGTGTCTCTTTTACTCATAAATTTCTCATGATTTATTTTTCCCATTGCTCTACTATATTTTAACCTATCAAGGCCACCAGGAGATTCACCACTGACTCTACAAAAGTCAGGAATTTCCTATCTTGTTTTTAGGGGATGCTTTCTATTGCAAATATATGGTATACCTATTCTTATCTGCTCGACCTTACCATAAGTTACTAATTAGTTTCACAATAATAAAAATTTCAAAAAATTACAATATTCCATAGATCAAAATATAATTTTAAAATTTACTTATGAAAATAAATGGGGTACACATATCCACGTGTGTGTATATGTGTGCATGTATACATATCACATATTGTATAGAATATGCTTGTCTAAAAACCTGATAAAACTCGAGCTTAGAACTAATCTTTAACAAGTCTGTACCTTAAATCTATACACAAAAATTTCATTACGACATTTCATTACGACTTTCTGCATCTATTTCTAGTACTCCTGTTCTACAGGTCATTGACCTTCTCTTCAGTCATTCTATTTCTTTTCTGCCTTTTCTTTCAGCGTACATTTAGGCTCTTTCAGCATCTCTCAGAGCAGTACTTATTCTGCCAACACCAACCCAGTACCTTGAATAAAACATGTTGACAACTCATGGTCTTGCATCACCTGGCCCTCTGAAAAATCTATCTAGTACGTAAAGAATAGGTCTTATAAATGTAAAATGACAAAGAAAAACATCAAATCAAAACCAGCATCTGAATGGAAAAATGCACGACAGCTCAAATACTCTTCTATCTCAGTTAGATAGGGTATGATGCATAATGCAAGTGAAAATAAAGCAAGAGTGAAACTCTCCTAATGTGTACACCTAGCCATTTCAACTAGTTATAGTTTGCTTTTCATTTTAATCCTAATGCAATAGGAAAATACACAACAGATGTAGAAGGATGCACCAATTAATAATGGACTGAAACTTCTTACATGACTTGGACTCCGGTGATGGTGGAGAAATGTTGGACACAGCAAGGTCACTCTTTGATTTTTTAGGCTTCTTTGCATTTACCTGCCAAGGTTTATCATAACTTCTGAAATCTCTCCTCGTTCCTTTATTTTCTGTTAAAAAATAAAATCAGGCAATTATAATATTCATGGTATCACTTTTGAAGGATTAGATAAACAACTAATCCACAAAAATCAACCTACAAGTCAACTATTTTTGTTCTCTTAATGCTAATTTTCATACTATTATTTCTTTGATTTTCTCAACACAAACTGTGAGAAATTCATTAGCACATTCCCAATAAATGAGGGAGACCTATTACAATCTCAAAAGGATTACCAGTCATTTTTTTTAAATATATAGCCAGCTTTCTAATAACAGTTTATAGCAGAATAGCAGTTAAAATCAGAGTAGACATTACTTCAGAAGTTTTTTTATGCTTCTGAAGATCTACTAAAGTACTAATAAGTGTTGAAATGACGGGGCATCAAAATGTATTATTTTATTATGTATTATTTTATTAAAATAATAATTATCTTAATATATCTTACAGGAGTGAAGGAGAACAAAGCAAAGGGAAGGAGGAAGCAGAAAGAAGAGCGGATGAATCAAGGGAAATTTAGATGCACCTTTTTCTCACTGAGATGTGCTTCCATCCCTGTAACTCTTACTCATACTCATATCATTTTTCCCTAGGCTGACCTAATCAGGAGTATACATTAAATCCAGTACAAACTGGACAAATAGGGTTTATTGTGCACGCTTAATACTGCAGAGTAGTACATGTACAGTAGGTGTGCAGGCATTCAGAAAATCAGTAACCAAAGTATGGGAATATTATACTGAAGACTGGCCCTTTCCAGCATACAGAACATTAAGGGATTTCATACATACCTGAAGTTTCACTCTCTGCCCAAAGGGCAGCAGATCCAGACAAGGTTCTCTGAAGCTGACTGCGGTTTCCCTGTTTGGACTGAAGATGATCAATTAGAAATGGGATTGGCTGGTCAGGTGTCTCTGTTATCAGCTTGGTCATCAACTCCTTCAGAAAATTAAAACAAAAGAAAAAAAAAAAGTGAAATGCTGCATCTAACCTTATACTGGCCAAAAAAAGAATATTACTAAAGGAAAAGTCTGTTTTCAATTTCCGAGAAAAAAATCTGGAAACAGCAATCTTTTAATAAACTGCAGATAGCTTTGCCCTCTGAAGTATCACATATGCAGTAATTCTAGACTGTAGACTCATTTACTTACTAGAATTTACCTAAAACAACTTGAGTCCTTCTTGTCTAACCATTCAGGACAGTGAATAGCTTCTCTCCAACCCACAGCAAAGATTCTTTTGCATGGAAACTGGCAGATGAGGAAGGTTGGGGCATTTCTTAACCCTGCCCAGACACAGAACAAGTTCAGAAGATGCACCCAGACCAGGAACTGCAAAGTCTGCCTGAATGGGCATAGCCATTTTTGAAAGTCAGTCCTCCAGAGCATGACTACATTTAACCAAGCATATCTGGCATCCTTTCTCATAGATTTTATTTCTGAAGAGCATTTTATTAGACCATGCAGAAAAGGATGCAACACCAGAGTCAACAGGGCACCATTCCCACTCCATGTGTTCACCCTGTCTTATTGCTGTCGTACCCGCTGGTGTTGGAAGGCAGAAAGAGAAACTCTCTTGCTCCTTATTGCTCCTGAGGTCATCCCCAACTCCTTACACGACTCAGGAATTAGGAATACAGAAAAAAAAATCTGTGGTTTTGTGCTGGGCATTTACACTGAGTGAAAATCTATGTGGGAAGGACCCTGATATTCCTATAGTATCACAGGGAATGTGTAGCTGTCACTGCAAAACCAAACAAGCTTCATGGAAGTCAGAAATATACTCCAACATACAACAAATTCAGGACCAAAAAAGGAGTAAGTTACCAAGAGCATTTATTCTTTTTTTGTCTACTCCTATGCATAAATCTTGCCATAACTTCCATTCACTTAATTCTGTCTCCTCTTTATGATTTTCATATTTCATTCAGTACTTCATTTAATGAATATTTTTTTAAATATCAGTAGTTAGTGGAACAGTTGTGCTGGAAAAGAGAGTTAAGAGGGAGTATGAAGAAGGTTGGTAAAATGAGTAACAGCCTGCAGTACTTTAAGATGCAGCAAGGTATCCTGGTCCACTTTAAGACTTTTTTTTTATTCATATATGTGTGTAAAGAAATAGACATAACCAAAAAGGAAATAGTAACAAGCTTTCCATTTGAGTGAAATTTAACTTAAGAAACCAAAGAGGAGAAAACACACTCAAACTCATTTCTTAAAAACATTAGATGAAGATCATCTGTTCTGTGATTTTTTATAATTATCTACAGGGAATCAAAAAACATGTCTTTGGTTTTAAAATTGAAATCCACAGGAAGAAATGAAGCTACTAATCTTAGAAATGGCAAAGTGAAAGACTGCAACTTCATCGAGACTGTCTCTCACTAATGCAAGAGAAACCCTCTGGTTTATATCATGTAGAGAAAAATTCAGAAGTTGGAATCATTCATTTTTGGTTGCTTGGCAATGCTCTAACTGTACGCCTTTTGTTTTTTTCCATGGCAAAATGCAGAATTGGTGACAAGCGGAAAGATGTGATCATGCGCTTGTGATGGACCACGACAGCTTCAGGGATTGCACTGCACGCAAAGGATCCCAGTACGAGCTGGAAAGTGTCAGTCCATGATAGGTGACCTGCAACTCAAATCATTTCTTTGAATGATGGTTTGAAATTGTGAATATTCTGTTTTAGATTAATAAAAACAAGATAAGAAAAAGGAAAACAGTGAGAACTGAGAAACTTTCATTGTTACTGTTAATTTTTGGAAGAGATGTAGGGGTGACAATCTGTCAATAAAACATTATGTAGCATTAGGAACATAGAGAACTGAAAAAAATTAGAATGCCTACATGTCAATGCAAGAATAATGCTACTTGATTACTGCTACCACTGACATATTTGTTATGGGCAGAAAAGGTCATTAACAAAAACAAGCCTAACAAGATAAGACTGATTACGGGATTCTTTACCTTATACTGAGTTATAGCACTGAAACAGAAGGACACTATAGCACAAGACAAAAAAAAACCCTGCTACTGCAAAACTTCTTCAAGTGAAATTAGGTCCTGTTCAATAGGACAACATCTGTATTTACTAATTGTCTGTTTATAATAGGGACTAAGTGATACAGAGGCTTGTGCTGGCCCAGAACATAAAGAATTGGTTAATTCTGTGAGAGCAGTTAGAAAGAATTAAAAGAACTACAGACAGAGGCTATTTTCATCTATCCAGTCTAACAAATGATCTGTACAAATATTGTACATAAAAAGAAAAAAGAAAACAATGCTCGAATCCTCATAAACTGCAAATAGTAGGCAATTCAAAAAAAAAAAAAAGTGATTTCTGCAGTAAGTCTCAAACTGATTTGCCTCAAGCATTTCCAGAGATGGCATTAAAAGTCAATATAATTTAAAGTCAATATAAAAAGGCAGCTCAGATATTAACCTTGGCATTACAAGCACAACATTACTCTTTAGTATGGTTCACTGCAAAAGAGGAGCAAAGAAACCAATAGGGATTTGTTCCTCAGGCAACTCGGAGCACGATGCCAGAGAGGGTTCCTGTTTCCCACAGCAGTGCTTCTGAGCCTCGTGGCATTTCCAGAGAGCATCCCCAGCACCAGCAGCAGTAGCAGCAGCCGCGATAACAGCTCTCAGAAACACTCTGCTCACAGATGCGTGTTTGGAGGCAGCTGCTTGCACATCCTCCTGCCACACACACGGCGAGATCCCACGAGTAGCATCGCAACAGCCATGTGCAGTGGGGGACACTTCATGTAGGCAGTGACTGCACTCAGTGACCCCTCAGGTGGCATTTCAAGTAAATAATCTTTTCCCGCCTTCAGTGAAATCCATATTATACTTTGGAAATATTTCTCTAAGAGGAATTCTCATCTTTTCACCATTCCTCACTAAAAAAGAAATTTGATGTTCTGATCTGCTACTCAAACAGCGTCTTGGAAAACAGTTGGAATAATACACTCCATGGCACTCTTAACAATGCTTCAAAACAGAAGTAAAAGTATTAAAGAAGAAAAACTAAAGCATACAACAGGTTGCAGAAACAGGTTAGCAGTAGTTTGATCTGATTCAGAATGTGCTAAGTAGGGAAGTTTTCACAGGAAAGTAAGAGAGACCAGCTACCCACACATGAAGCCACCTCTGCATTAGCAGTATAATAAAAATAGCACAAGCTCATTGAAGCCAGCTGAGATTCATTTCATGATGTGCAATCCAACAGTAAGTTTCAACAACTTATTAGGCATAAATACAAAAATGCAAGATTTTTGTATGTCCCTAATAAACATTAGCTCAACCCTCTCTTTTCTTTGCAGCCTACATTTTTACATTTCCCCCTTTTTTTTTCCAGTTTAACCAAATAAGACTATTTTTTGTCTATCTTCACAACATGTTCTTCCAAGCTCAGTCTGCAGTACCATAACAATGAAAACAGATCGTGTGACAGATTGGGTCCCCGGGCTGCCAGATGAACTGCTCATCACCCATAATTTCTTTCTTCCTATCTTCTTTCCACTGCTACCTCCACCTTTTGCTCCATGTCCTTTTGTCTTTTCCATCAGTGCGGCTCTCCCCTGTCTCTTCCCTCTACTTAACAGGTGTAGAAGCCTGATAACTCAGAGGTCTATAGAGAGTTGCAGCACAGAAAAGGAGTGAAAGGAAATCCTGCATAACTAGAGGCTACAGCACTGGGCTAAATATACTAATTTGCGCTGTTTCTCTTCTGTATCATCTAAATTAGGTGTTGTCCTGATTAGAATAAGAAAAAATGGGAAAAAAACAGGTTATATGAAATCCAGAAAAAAAATGGCAACTAACTTCTCCAAGGATTGTACCTTGTGCTATGCAAAACAGAAATAAGAATGGTTGTTTTTAGTTTCTCCTTAAGGATATATTCATATGCTTTTACACTGCCTTTTATTAAGCTACACAAGCTTGACTGCTTTAAAAGAAACTTGCAAAAGCTGATCTGTGGGTATTTCCGAGAGAGAGAGTCATGCACACATTAGTAAGACTGCAAAAGATCTTCAATGACGTCTGAATCAGTGACTTAATAAATTAATTCTTTATACAGAGGTAATCTTTCATGATTGTGCTGTCTTGAGGTGCTCTATTAGTTATTCAATGCAGGCTCAAATTTTAATTTTCCAGCGACTGTCCATGCATTTAATACAAATGAAACAGTCTTCACAGTCTATTAATCATAGGCCAAATTACAAGAAAGCTCTAATTAGCTACATCTAAATGTACCTATCCAGATATTAAGTTAATTAAGAGACATTCTATCTTGCTCTGTAATTGATAACAGTAACTACAGAACAATCGCAGGTTTTATTTTTCATGATATAGGCTTCTACACACTGTGGCAGAGATTTTGGTTCTATTACGGTATCATTTCATGGTTAAAATTAGATGTTTGAAGTGGGCAGAGTGAATTGCCCTCAGCAGAGGCCTGTCTCTTCCCTCTCCTGACCAAATAAAAGAGACTAGATGGCTTAGTTTAGACTACAAGGCTTGGGTGATATTCAGTTCTAATTTAAAACAATTAAATATAGGAGTCTTCACACAGATGTCTATGGTGATCTAGTCAAAGAAGCCACTGGAGCCTAGAGAGCTGCTGCTCAGCTGGCAGTAAATATAAGCCTACGTAGGCTACAGAAAATTGCTCTCCAGGCTCCACTGAGTGTATTGACTAGGCAACTATTGACCACAGGATCATCCACAGCACCCCTAGGAGCTTGGACACTTAGACACAGGCCAACACCTAAATTTGGGGTTGTTGATCACTTCAAACGTGTGTGAACACAGAAGATGTAAAAACTAGTGAAAAACTGCGTAAGGAAAGGAAGTTTAGTAAAGAAAGCTTTTGTGGTTGCCACCTCTACAATTCCTTTGTCATTTATGCAGTGTTATTAGCC